ACAATTGTCTGGTAGTGAGCGCTTCCAAACCGAAGAGTCACCGATTTGTCCTTCCATTCGAGGGGCGCGAAGAACGACAGATCATACCAAACCCATCCGCCGTAGTCTCGTATGAATCGACTCTGAGTTATGTCATTAAAACTCGAGGGCACCGGCATTGGGATCACATCTCCTGTCTTTATAAAGTAACGTAAATACGGGTAATAAATATTTAGTGTATTATTAAATTAATTACAATATTATACAATACAATGAATGCATTAATACTGGATAACCTACAGAATGGCTAAGATTACTGAAACATATGGTAAAAACTCACTTTGGTTATAAAACCAGCAGCAGATGTCTTTACTGGGCTTTTAAGGTTTTCGGTAGGTTTCAGAAGTGTAGAGACCAGAGGGATTCTCGCGGATAAAGCCGTAAATTCTCTGCAAATGCATTGGAGATGAGAATTGCCAACAAAAATGATTTTAAATAATTCATGTTTGAGTCAAATGACAACTTCATCTAAACATTTCCTCTTCACAACTATTTATATTAAATTTGTTGACAATAAAAACAGATTTATACTGAAATTATCACTAAAACTTTTATCAGTCAAAACACTTAACTAAACTCATAAATATATTGGTTAGTGATTGAGAGTGAGAATTACTATTATTGGTTCACTTATCACTTCAGTACAATTCATAACCACTTTATTATACTTAATACACTCAATAATTAATATCATTTATATATCATATATTATTATATAATTATATCTATTTTATTTAAAACCCTTATTTATTCAATACAGGTGAACTTGAAGTGTTTATTTCTACAAATAATATTGTCATGGTTGAGCGAAGGTTCTGTGGCAACCTGTGTTTGATTTGATCACTTAAATTAAAATTTATAAAATTATTTTAAATAATTTATTAAGTAATTAAATTGTAATATAATGTTGTAAAAAATTAACACATAAAAGGCTGATATAATATTAGTTAAATATAATTTGTTTTATAAAATTAGGATCATTTCCTATGTAAAAGTATTTACATAATATTTGATAATCATAGTGTAATTATTCTTAAATTACAATAACAATTCATGACATTATTTAATACTTATAAATATATTTAAACAAATCCAAACATCAATTTATACAATAACTTGCCATCAATTAAATTGACGTCTAACTAATTATAACTATTTTACAAACATTTTTAGATTTAATTTTAACTATATTTATATTTTTATATTGATTTCTATGTAAAACAGCTTTTGTTGATAGAGATTCAAACAAAGTTTGATTTGATTTGATTTAAATTACTCTATTATAAACTTACTGTAAAATTTGCTTAAAATCAATCATTGTTAAACTACATTTCATAACAATATTAGGGTATAATATAATTGATAATAAGTAATTTAATCACTTTTTTATTTTGAACAATTATGATAATTGTTTGCCTCCATATCTATAATGAGTTTCCAGATATTCTCGATTCCCATTGATTCCCAACAATACTGCAAATGATATAACACTAGAACTTTAGACTTAAAATTCCGAAAGAACTTAAATTAAGAACATTTTACTTGAATAAAAAAGTTGCTAAATAAGTGATATTTTCAAGAATAATACTTATAGATATAATTGTAATGTTTATATCTGTTAACACAATATATTTTCACTTTTATATCTTTTATATTAAATACGAGACGTTATACACGAAACTCTTAAAAACAAATCAATGCTCAAGAAATAATAACAAAGAGTTTGAATAAAGTTATAAATTGCAAATCAGATCAAATAATTCTCGTTTTCATCATAAATACTAAATATATAACTTTTGAAATTCATATTATGCGCTAAGGCTAAAGTCAATCAAACAGTGTGAATTGATACAGTGGCCAATCAACATTAAAAAAGAAAGTATTTTTAGAGTTTAGAATTTTGACTGCAATTCAAAGTTTGAATTTCAAACACTTATGATTTAAACCATGTCTTCACGACGACTACCGCTGAATGGTGTCAAACAACTTGGATAATAATTATATAAATTGTATTTTAATATTACATTGGATTCTGACATTAAATGTGCGAATTGTATGTAAAGAATAATACAATAAGTTATATGTGTTTAACTCTTTTCATATATTATTCACAAAACTATTATTTGCATTTTTGATTAAATAAAATAATTAAACTTATTTTTGCTGTAATTTAATTAAATTCATATAAAGTTTAGTAAAATTACTTTAAATATAAAATAATGACAAAACTTTTCAAAAGAAAACTTTAGATTTGTGTCAGAATTTGATTCAATAGCCAATGGTTTGTGTGATTTGTGGCCGTAATTGATGTGTGAACTGAAGGCACGAATCAATGGTAAGGCATTGAGCGATGGTTTGAATGTATGGCTGAAGACAATCGATGGACACGACTGAAGACAAAGAGTTGGCTCCACTGACCGCAGGTATGACCTGTGCTGACGGCAGCCGGCGTTGTGACTGGTGTACACCACAGAGAGATCGGCAGTCCAGAAGCAATGTTTGCCTGCCTAGCAACCTACTTTAAGCGCGAGTTGAGTCCCGAGTACACAAATCCCAAACGCTGTGTTCTCTCATCACAACTCCCACCACAACAACCACTCAACACAACCAGACATCACATCCCGACCCGCAGTCCGCACATCACGTGTTGGCCAAACAATTGGTCGCCCAATACTTTGACTGGCGGCCTATATTCGTGAGTAACTCACAGAAATTATAGCCAAACAAATTGGTAAAAACGGCTATACAAACAGGTGAGAAAAACCAGTGCACAAAACATAAATAAATTACTAGTCTTTCACCAAAACTAAACGCACCGCCCATTGATTGGTCTTCGGCTCAGAACCAGTTGGGATTGACTGCAGACGAAGAACTCGTGGACAGCGATTCCAAGCAATTGTTCGTTTATTTTGCGTTTTTTAATTGTTTTTATTTTCATTTTGTTTATAATTTGTATATTTTAGACCACTTTTGACTGCAATCGTGAAGAAGTGTTTGCAAACGACAGACAAGTGATACTAAAAGACTAATTGTCACCAATTGTTATAAATATAAGAGTTTTGTTTAAATTTGTAATAAATATAATCAATGAATACAATGAACGCATTTGTGTTGCGATCGTTGAGACACTTTCGCATGACTTCGGGACTCAATGCTATTAATTCACGAAATATTTGTTCAACGAATCCAATGAGAGATATCTTTCAAATACAAGACGAGGACGACTTCAAAGACAAAGTACTCAACAGCAAGAATGTGGTTATCGTTGACTTTCACGCCACGTAAGTAATGGTTGATTGTATTGTATTGAATATGTGGTGATAATGGATGTGTTTGTGTGGTGCAGATGGTGTGGTCCGTGCAAAATACTCAAACCAAGACTCGAGACTATTATCGGCGGAAAGACTGGTAAAGGAGTGGATTTGGCGGAAGTGGACGTCGACGACAACGAGACCATTGCCTCCAAATATCAGGTATACTTCTGTCACTTTAGACGATTCAACGCAAGTCTATAACGAACTGATTCTTTAGGTGACATCCGTTCCCACAGTGTTTGCTATGAGTGGCGGCAAAGTTATCGATCAGTTCATTGGCCTCAAAGATGAAGACCAGTTGCGAGCCTTCGTCGGCAAAGCGCTCAAAGAATGATTGCATTTGTTTTAGTGTAGAGTTTATAGAAATTAATTGGATTTTTATAGCATTGAAAATAACTTCATTAGAAATTTCACCAAAAAAACAAACAAATAACAAATATTTTGTATGAATTCGTAGAACTAATGGCAATAAAAAGGAGTCATTGAAAATAAATGATGAATTAAACATAAATCAATTAGATTTTTAGTTTTTTTTTTCAAAAGTTATAAATTTTTAGTACATTATTTGGAAATAAATATTGCTTTTTATTTTAGTTTTTGAATTTTGAATATATTTTGAGAAAATATTTTTTGAATAAAATTTTATTTGAATGACATTTGAATTCCAGATTTGATCGATTTATTCATTCAAATGCCATTAAATCAAGCCTTAAGTATAAGCGATCGATGTTTTTATTGCAATATTTTTTGTTTGCTATTTATAACAAACATATTAAATAAAGTGAAACGTAAAACAGTATTAATTTATTTCTTTTGTTTTTTGTTATACGACGTGAATGTGTTGTCAACAGAGAGACCGCTGTTTGTCGTGTTATGTATTTGTAATTCATTGTAAAGTATAGTCAATAGCATGGGTTTGAACCGACTGTGAAATACATCTGTTTGGACAAACACTACAAAATCAAAGAATTTCAACAAATTCTTTATGTAATATTCTGTATGTAAATTAAGTGTACATACAGTACAGTATTCTCTGTCCTATACTTGTTGTTCATCAGTTAATTCAACCATTATATTGATCTCTGTTTGTATTTGCATTTAATTTACACAACTAATAGGAATTGCAATAATTGTCGGACAATATGTTTACGATTGAAATATAAATATTTATTTTGAATCATGAAATATTTAATAGATGTATACATTTGTAGAAATTTAGTCGAAAACAAGACTATAAATGAATTCAATTGCAAGTCATTTACATTAAAAATATTGCATTCAATTTGGGAAATGAAAATTTGTACTAAAAATATTTGTATTAATATTTAATATACACTATAAACTATAAATAAAATTTATTTAATGGTAAATAACATTTATTGTAAGGTTTTATATACAGAATATACGGATATTGTGCAGTCAGGATGTTTATACCGTACAAATTTGTACATTGCATGAGTATTTTATACATTTAAGGATCTTGATGAAAGATTAATTAAATTATACACAACACAAAAATACCACAATTTTTATTATAAAACATGATTTTATACAACACTCACACAATGTGTGCCAATGATAAGGTTTATATTGAAAACTAATATTAAATCCAAACAACTTTGATAACTGAAAACATGAAATAAATATAATGATGAAAAGTAAGCGAATTAATGATGTTTGGCATGAAATGCAACAATAAATCATAAATTCATTAATTTTTCTATTTAATGCTATTTAAAGTTTTTTAAATGATAAGTTATCAGTGAATTAAAATCAAAATAAAACTTCTATTTATAAACACAATAAAATCAACAAAATTTTCAAATAAGGAGATTATGTTTAACACAATTAATACTTGATTTAAACGCAATTCAAACAGTATTTTTCGGGGAACTCTCATAAAAATGTCAAACAAATGAACGAATGGTGAGATGGGATCCAATCCTTTCATTAGAGTTTAATGAGAAGAAGTCACGTCTGTTGAAGATTGGGAACAGTATTTGTTCAGATGATAGGAGAAAGAGATGGTGAATGTTATGTGAATACAAATTGCATTTGCTTTTTGTATGCGACTATACTATGGATTGGATTTATTGGAAATTCAGTCAATCGTTTATTTAATGTTTATGTTTGAGACGAAAAGCGATGGTTTTCTAACTGTAATATCATTGAAGAGATTCGCTCTTCTTTAAGATTAGTCCAAATTTTAAATGCATTACATTTTATAATAGAAAAACAAATTGATTCCTAAAAATACAAATTGTTTTCCAATACTTCCCCACAGAGTCTATAAAATATTGTCACAAAATTGTGTGACATTTTATACGAGAATATAATTTATGACTATTTGTTGGAAACATTATTATTTGAGTTTCTTATGACGAGAGCGTTGACAGAAGAAGTGGAACTAATTCTATCGTTTCGTCTTCTAATGAAACTACACGTCAAGAAATTGCAAACACTTTTAGCACCGGCTCTGAAGTCTTCGTTGAGCCACCAGAAGATGAATGGGTTATAACAACAGCTACTGATTCCGAACCAATAGAAGATGAGATACAAAGTGCTGGCATTACAACCGCCAGCGTTGAGACGATTGCCGTAGAAGTCAATGATGTGTATTATATTGACGGGAAGCCAACAAATGGCAAACACCACCACTACTATAATCAACATTTTGATGGTCCGCTTCTTGATGTGGACCAATGTATTCAACTGCACTTCAATCATATCGCCGACGTTTCGCCTCCAAATGGTTTGTACGGTTTTGGCGTACAATAGGACTGAAATGATTACAGGAAGTAAGTATTGAGTGAATATAACGCCAATAATGCGGACGTGTCTCAGGATGTCTGAAGAGAAGGGGAGATTGAATCGGAGAACGACTCGACATTTGATTATTGGATCACTTGTCAAGTCGTAAGTGAAGATCTTAATGGAGACGGCGGTCAGTAATACAAACGCCAACGAAATAATCCAAACGATTGATATAAAAATTCTTGGATTAGTTTTTTTGATTGGATAGTGAACTACAATATACCGGTCGATCGCTATCGCCGTAAATGTAAGGCTCGACCCATAGAATGAGAGGACTTGAATGGACTTTGCGATCGCACACCCGATGTATAGGTGTTGGTATCTGTCCAGCAGTGGTTCCCAACACACCAACCATTGCAATGGTATCGTAAGGGCGCAGATAATGTCAGAGAAAGCCATATTCACGATCAATAGGTTGACAGTTGTCCTCAATTTTTTGGATTTAATGACAACCCGACAGACGAGGGAATTGCCGATTAGAGCCACAATTGTTGTCATCAGATATAAAGTTAATACGAAAATATCCCTCAAATGCCAGTCATTGGCATCACTAATGTTTGCCGGAGTCGGAGAACTATAATCAGTCAAGTAATACATATCTCCTCCGTTTGACTCCAGATAATTATTTAGGTTTTTGTGTGTTTAACACAAAATATATTAAACAAAATTGAAAAACTTTCAATATTCCGTTTATTTGCATATTTCTAATGAATTTGCGTTCAGTTTCGAGAAAAACACCTCTGAATAAAATAAAACATTAAATATTTTTATTTATTAAGTTTCTTATGTATTGATGAAAGTCACACAAAAACAGCAGTCGCTTAGATTGAAAGTCTATGGAGAAATCAATTTGTGAGTTAAAGTTGTTTACTACAAATTTGTTATATTAAAAAACTTATTTTTCAGATACTGTTCAAACAAACTCTTCAACCAATTGCTAATAACTGCTGAATAAACTAATCCGAGCGTAACGTTAGACTCGGATAGCAGACACTCAATTAGTTTTCCCTTTTTTAGTAGTTTTTTTGCTTATAATAAACAGTGAAAAAGGGATAATAAATATCTCTCTCGTGTTCTATGCGACTGCTAAAGTGTTATTTACCTGTTTGTGTGAACTCGTTATTTAGTACCGGGGTCTATTTACTTTTGTTGCAACATACACAGATAAAATATCGGCAATCTTATCGAGTAAACTTAGAATAACTTAAAACATTTAGAAAGATAGCAACTTAACGCATCAAGTTAATTCATATTCAAAACAATATTGATAAGTTTGCTTTTGTTATAACAATTAAATGCCAAATCACACGACTTTAATAAACAACTTGAAAAACAATGTTATAATAAGTTATTATTAATAACATACAATTTAATGCAATTGTATTAGCAGTTGATAAAACGCATGTTTTCTTTATATTAATGAAACACTTTATTGATTGCATCTTTTCAGACAATATTTGACTTATGTTTTGTACCAATTGCTGGGTTTCTATGACTTCATTAAATGGGAAAACATTATAGGGTTAATCATTCAACTAATCAATGCCTTAATGTTGTTATTGTGCACTAAATTAGTTTTGTTGCGGTCTTCTGATCGTCCGATCATTAATTCTCGCCATTCGTCGGGTAATGGGTTTTGATTGCCAGGCCTTTGCTTCTTAAATATGTTGATATTTATTGCAATTCATTAAAAGTATTTACAGAAAACTCGGAAACAAGTTTCTCAATAGAGTTTCTATCGAAGAGATTGTTTTTAGAGTTAAGTGAAAACTTTTGACAAATAGCTCCGCTATTAATATAATTATGTCAGACATAACATTAAATCTTCATTCATTTAAATGATTATCTCATAAACACAGATTTGATTTTAGAGTAGAGCCGGCAATAAATAAAAGCCGTTTTGTACACTCTCTTCGCTCTCTTGTGTTGTGTCGTCTTTAAAGAAACTGATTTATTATTTATTTTATAAAATATAGCGAAATGTTATTTTTTGATTAAATAAATCAATTCATTAATATATATCAGTTGAGAGAAAATTGGGAAAAAGGGCGTCGAGTTAGAGGCGATGACTCCCTCTTCGCTAAACAACGATATAAAGAGTATACAGAAAATGATAAATGGATTCAAAACGAAAAGTACATATTTTAGAGTCGAGTGTAGAGTAGTGTCTATTCTTAAGATTCTAGCTTTTAGTATGTATTATAAATTTCGCTCAAATTGATGACTACAATGACTACAGGATTGCTTTATGTATGCAGTTATTGATTATCTCATTAACCAAAAGCTCACACAATATTTTTTTGTCTGTACGAGTTGTAAAAAAGTGTCACTGTTTTCAACATGTCATCCGAAAAATTCATTTACTCTTCTCTTTATATACTATTGTGTTCACGTCTTAACTCAAATACAATACACAAATTAATTCAATTTCTCCCTTAAACTCCTCGTCAACTCACATATACAGTAGACTTTCATAAAGTTTTCTTTCATTATGTGTGATATAACTGCACATATTTTCTGACTTATGATTGTTTTTTCATACATACTATCATTAAAATAATTCATTTAAAGACTACTATAACTGAACAGCGAAAAAAATAAGGCTTAAAAAGCAGTATTCGGGGCTATTTTTATTGATATATCGATTAAATGATAAGCCCTTTGTAGTGAAATATACTG